CCATTCCCACCCTGTTCCTCAAACTGGGGAGCTTCAATCAGAACCTTGGACACCTCCACCACGAAAGAACTGAATGGTCCTGACCCTAGCCCCACTATGAAGTCCTAGGTAAATACTATCCAATGGAAGGTGTTCCTTGTACCCATGACATCTAAAAACAAAATTAAATTAGTCGGAAAATTGCATGACAGTCAAATTCACAAAGACAGGATCATGTATTTTGTCAATTAGGGAGACTGGTAATATTTAGAGGATGCTGAAACAACAATTGTTATTCAACACATTTAACAACAACACAGACATTTAGGCTTTGTGGTACAGTAGAAAGAGTGCTGGATGTAGAATCAGATGTTCTGAATTAATTAAATCCTGACCCTTCATTTATTACCTTGTATAAATGATCTTGCTTCTGTAGACCTCAGTTTCCTCATCCAGAAAAGGAGGAGATTGAATGAGATAACTTCAAAAATTCCTTTCAGTTCTAAACCCATTATTTTATGTGATAGGGTGAAAAACAAACATACAACCCAACCCCACTCTATAAAATATTAGGGCTTTTGTTGTTGTTCAATCATTTTTCAGTTGTGTATGACTCTTTGTCAGAAAGCCCTTTGGAGTTTTCTTGGCAGAGATACTGGAGCGGTTTGCCATTTCCTTCTCTAGCTCATTTTACTGATGAGAAAACTGAGGCACACAGGGTTAAGTGACTTGCCCAGGGTCACACAGCTAGCAAGTATCTGACGCTGGATTTGAACTCAGATCTTCCTAATTCCAGGCCTGCTGCTCTATCTACCGAGCCACCCTGCCGCCCATTAGAGCATTCCTCCAATATCTCATTGTAGCATGAAGACAGCCTTGGGTTCTCCAAGACTACACAAATGGATTGCTAGCTCTGACTAGGCTTTGGTGAGGGTTTCTTCGGCTATCATCCAAGAAAGAGCCCAGTTAAGTTCTGAGAGGCCCATGGATCAGGCTGACCAACAGGTGTCAAATTTTTTTGGACCTAGAATTTCACCTAGAACATCAACTAATAGAAGGTTTGGGATTGGTAGTGGTGGACAGGTGTGTCTGGGATGTGTTTCTAAATGTTTAACAACTGATTCTCCAGGGGGAAAAGTATGCATGACACACTTTTCAACTTAAACTACGTTATTAACATTTTCTCCATGATTTTCTTATGTCTACTCTAGACAACCATCATAACAATAAATCAAGTCCTGATATGTTCAGTCATTTTTCGGTTACGTCTGACTCTTTGTCAGGAAACCCTGCAGGGTTTTCTTGGCAAAGACACTGGAGTGGTTTGCCATTTCCTTCTCCAGCTCATTTTATAGATGAGGAAACTGAGGCAAACAAGGTTAAGTGACTTGCCCAGGGTCACAAAGCAAGTAAAAGAGTCTGAGGCAAGATTTCAACTCACAAATGTAAGTCTTACTGACTACAGGTCCAGCACCTCTATCCACTGCACCACCTAGCTGCTCTTCCTTATAGGGAGTGTTTGCCAATTTCCAAGGTATAAATGCTGACACTGAAAACTTAACAATCAGCTGTCAGGAACAGGTATCAGCTGACTCCAGCATGTTCCTGATTGTATCTCACATCAAGGAAAAAATGGATGCATTAAGTATTATTATTAGCAATGTTATTGTTATCAGGGAGATATGGTATAGTTGAGGACACGGAATGAAGAGCAAATTAAAAGACCACCTATTTTTGTGTGTTAGTTTAAATTACAAATTTTGGATCATGCAAGGTCATTTTGAGGGTATTGTGGTAGCTGTGGGTGAGGTTTGATGATAGGATCGTAGATTTAGAGGTGAGACAGATCTTAGATATCATCTAATCTAATCCTTCCTTTTCAGATAGGAAAACTGAGGGTCACCCATGAGAAAATAAGCTCTCTGTGAGTAGGGACTGTTTCATTCTTTGTACTTATAACTTAATCTCTAAGCAGAGTGCTTGGCACATAGCAGTCACCTAATAAATACTTGCTGGTTAGTTGGTTGAGCTATGAGACTTGACCAAAGCTGCATAGAAAGTAGATAGCAGAGCCAGGGTTCAAATCTCTGCCATTAACAAGGAAACCCAGAGGAGCAGCTACATGGTACAGTGGATAGAGTACCAGGCTGGGAGTCAGGAAGACCTGAATTAAAATCTGGATGAAGGAAAGAAGTGCGTTTATAGTGAATCTGAAGTAGGGTGGTGGTACCACCTAGCTGCTCTTCCTGACATGTAGTATTTGCCAATTTCCAAGGGATAAATGCTCACAGTAGAAATTTTAACAATCAGCTCTGAGGAACAGGTACCAGTTGACTTCAGTATGCCCATAGATACTTTAAGTATTATTATTAACAATGTTATCATTATCGAGGAGATGTGAAATATTTGAGGACACTGAGTGAAGAGCAAGTCAAAAGACCACTTATTGTGTGAAAGGAATTAGTTTGAATCACAAATTTTGGGTCATGCAGAGTAGCAGAGCATATCTTTCCTCTGCTCTACTCTGCCTCCCAACCTTTTAAAAAAAATTCTTCACAAAGGACCTGAAATACAGACTCATAATTTATTTGTTTCACTTCTTCGAAACATCTCATAAGGAAATCAACCCCAATGTACTGTGGTAAATGAGATACCCATAAAAGCAGATAGGTCAAATACTGAAGCTGAAGCTGAAATACTAACTCAAAAGAAACGGGAGATGCACAAATTTAGACACATCTCCACCCCAAATGTTCTTATGGACTATTTGTACCTCACCTGTGGTAAAGCATTCTGAGCTCGTATTGGTCTGATCTGCCACAGTCTCCAACATAGTGATGTCATTTTGGTCCTCTTCAAGAATGGACAACAACCACTCATATCCTTTGACTTGTCTATTGGGAAAGGCCTTTTGGTCATGTGTGTGTATGTATATATTTCTTACTTGTTTATATATCTTAGATACCAAACCCATTTCAGAGAAATCTGACACAATGATTTCCCCCACCCCCATTTTACCTCTTTCCTTCTCATCCTAAGGATATTGATTTTGTTAGTGCCTAAGTTTTTCAGTTCCAGCCTAATGGAAATGTGAAATGCAAATTCCAATTACACAACTTCAAGGGATTCGTTATTTGTATTAATTAGGACTTCCTAGTATTTTATTTTTCGTAATTATCTCTATCCATAGTTTAAGAATATATCTTCTACCCATGACTATCAAATGTCTACGATCAGCTTCTCTTCTGATTATTTTATAGTATGATCTTTAATATTAAGGCAATATGCCCATTTAGGTCACATTATGGAATATGGTGTAAGGTGTTGCTCTAAGCCTAATTTCTGCCAGACTGCTTTCTAGTTTTCCCAGAAACTTTTAGCAGATAGTGAGTTCTTTCCTATTTGTTTCAGTTTGTTGACCACTGATTTACTGATTCACATTATTTCTGATTCTCCCTTGTCTAACCTGTTCCATTAATCTACTGTTTTATTTTTTAAACACCAGATGGCTTTGATAACTAATATTTTATGTAGCTTGAGGTCTGGAAGTGCTATTCCTCCTTCATTCCTACCTCTTTTTATTATTTCACGTTCTAGATCTTTTACTTTTCCAACTGAATGTTATTTTAAAAAGTTCTATGAAGTATACATTCGATAATTTGATTGGCATGTCTCATTCTGTATCTACTACAGTCCATCAATTCTCTATCAAGAGTTTGAAAACATGCTTCATCATCAGTCTTCTTGAGTCATGGTTAGTTGTTGCATTTATCAAGTTCTCAAATCTTTTAAAGCTGTTTTCCCTTTCAATGCTGTAGTCATTTTATAAATTATTCTGGTTCTGTACCCATCACTCTTTATCAGTTCAAACAAGTCTTTCCATCCCTTCATTCCTTACAGAAAAACATTCCATTACATTCATACCATAATTTATTCAGCCTTTCCTCGCAATTGTTGGATACCCACTTTGTTTCTAGCTCTTTGTTACACCACTAATATTTTTGTAGATTCAAGTCCTTTCTCTGTCTCTAGTCTCTTTAGGAGATAATCCTACAGTGATATCACTGGGTCAAGAGGTAAATACAGCTTAGTAACTTTTGGAATGTAATCCCAAATTATGTTCTAGAACAATCAGACCAACTCATAGCTTTACCAATAGAACATTAATGTGCCCATCTATGCCCTCACAGCAATTCCAATTGTCATTTTCCGTTCTAGTCACTTTTGCCAATCCATGGGTGTGAGGAAAAAACAATTTGTTCTAATTTGCATTTATTACTAGTGATGTGGAACACTTTTTCATGTGATTGATGATATTCATTTCTTTTGAAAACAAGCTGTTCAAATACCTTGATCATTTATCTGTTAGGGAATGACTTGTCTTTATATACTTGTATCAGTTTCCAATCTTGGGTATCATTAGCTGGGAAATTTGCTGCCAACATCCCAATTCACTGTTTTACCTATATAAATTAATCCTCTGGTGGTCTGATTGGTAGTCATGGCTGAGATTACTAAGAAGCCTACACTAGTTCCTTTCACCAATGTATACCACTGAACCTGTAGATTAATCTAAGTAGTACAGTCATTTTTATATTGACAGTCCAACTGTGAGCCATTAATTTCTCCAACTGTCTTTTTTCTGCAAAGTGTTTTGTAAGTATATTCATATAATTCCCGTTTAGCAGGAATTCTTGATAGGTAGGCTCCTGGGTATTTTATATAATTATTTTGAACACAATTTATTTTTCTCTTTCTGCTGAGTTTTGTTTGTAATATAAAGAAAGGCTAATAATTTTAGTGGATTTATTTTATATCCTAACACTTTACTGGTTATTAATTGCTTTGTAATGGTTTACATGCTTCTCTATATTCATATTTATTGTTTCTTACAACACAGTAACTAGCATTCTATTTGTAAGTGGCAGAATCTATTCTGTCATTATAATTATGCCAATTATAGGGTGGCATACCCTCTGAGAGAACACCAAGATGCCAAAGAAAGGATGGCCCACACCAACTTAGTTATTAATAGGTTTTATTAGAGTTAATTGCAGGAGTTTACTCAAAGAGGCCTAGTCCTTGCTGGCAAAAAGACAGAATGGATTTCCACACCCAACCTCAGGCCAGGTCATATTATATAGAAACAGAACAAAGAAAGCACAGTGCCCAAGAGGGACCAGGGTCACATGCAAGTTTTTCCGTGGGACAGTTGCAGATTTGCTATTTACATTTACTCAAGGTACTTTACATTCTCTGTGGAGCATGAGGGTCATGCTTCCAGACTCAGGCGACCATCATACATTACATTCACATTTGTTCAGCCATTTTCCAACTGATGATTATTTGCTTTGATTCCTGTTATTTGCAGTGTATACAGGGATCTTCCCTTTACCCACTGACTTCCTTGGGGTATACACCTAATAGGAGAACCTCTGGATCAAAAGGTATAAACATTTTAGTCACTTTTGTGGCATAATTCCAAATTGTTTTCCAAAATGTTTGGATCAATTCATACCTCTACAATTTTATTCTTAACACTTGGCCAGTCTTACTTTTAGAAATCCTTTTCTCCCCAATCTGGGCTCCAGACACTCAGCTGCCTCCAACTCATACAATCTAAACCTCTCCCACCTCTCTTCAGACTTGCAAATTGGTGTTAGGGGGGAACTTAACACCAGCACTTTACTGAGTTTGGATGCTGAGGTGATATGAAACATTCATAAGGCATTTAACAGTTAACAAAAGGTTTATTTCGTCCTAATATACCAAGAATATGCAACAGGGCAACAATGGCACTTAAGTCCCTCAAATCCATATGGTAACTGTCTGGTCAGCTTGACAAGATACAGTGACTTGCATAGTCTTCAGAAATCCACCAAGTTGGAAAAGCCCTGACTCTATGTGAGTAGGGCTTATTTACACCCTTAGTGACCAGGAATCTATATCAAGAGAGGCAGAAGCCAACCAAGGCCAAGGGAGAGCTTTTATGCTTTTTAGGGAAAATTAATCTCTATTTTGGCAAATGGGAAATGGAACCCTAGTCCTCATACAATCAACGAGATTAACAATAAAAAGAACATAGGCATCAGCACTCTCCCAACATCAAGCTTTCCTTAAGCCATGTAACAGTGAAGACATTTGAACTGCGTATAAAGAGATGAAAGGTTCTCAAAATAAAACACATGGTTTCCTTTCTTACAAATTTTTTTATTATATGAATTAACAAAATGTCTTCTTTTGCTCAGTATTCCCAAGAAGAAGAAGCATTTTAAGAGGGACAGGGCTGCTGGACAAATCCAGTCACAACAGGATGATGAATAACTGAATTAAGAGATCAGTAAATTAAAATGTGGCAGCTTACAAGGGTTAAGCAAGATATAAACCTAGTGAGGTCCTGAGACAACTTAGTAACTCTCAGAACTTGGAACACAAACTAATCTCACAATTTCCTTCATCTAATCCTTCTTGGATTATATTCCTCATAGAGACCAATTATTGAAATAACTGTGCCTTACTGGAGAACGGGTGAGGTCTCCTCAGTGAAGTTCATTGATACTTTCCTCTCATTTTCATTGGTTAATAATGTGATAGAGCAGAGGCAATGGGTATACAATCATTTCACTTCCCAGGGAAGTCAGAGGCTCCACAGCATGGCGACAGCTTTGCAGATGCCCACATCACGATAGTTGAAATAGCAGAGTCCTGCAAAGGTCACGGCTGAGAGCATCAGGAGACTTGCATTGGCTCCTTTCACCAACTTGTCTTCATGAACATAGTCAGTAATAACCTGTCCAAGACCCCTGAAGGGAAAAAGAAAATTCTACCATAGTACAAACTAAAAATGACAAGCGACATTAAGAGGGCATTTGAATATTGACCTTGCTCATGACAAGAATTAGTCAAGTTTCAAATGGAGTATTTTATCACCTTCCTCAGTTCCTACCACTAGATTAATTTTTTCCATCTCTTCAGTGACTTTGACTTTTGTACACAGTTATTTTACAATTAGGAGGTAATATTCTTATCCTGTTTTAAGAAAAAGTTTAAAAAACCCAATTCATGGTAACAAGGACCATAACTAAGGAAGAAGGAAGACAGAAGTTCTAAATGAAACTAGACTGACACGTACACTCTAAGGATTACAATCCCCAGAAAGACTTATACTAGAGAAAATGGCCACAAACCCTGATAGCTATCAATCTACTTGGATTAGTTAATATATCAAACAGGAAAAGCCAAAGAGGGACCATGTACAAACCAGACAATCATTAAAATAACTCAGGTCAGTGGAGAGAACCATCAGTTCATGACTGGAGTGCATATCCTTTAGGTGATGTACTAAAAGAAAACCTATTCTCCACCACCCCACCATCCTGCTCTCTTTGGAGTAAAATATAAATAAGAGTCAGACTTCTACATAAGATCATGAAGGCAGATATTAATTGGAGCATTTATCAGAAATGTTACTGGTTCCATATTGTTCACTATCTTCCTGTTGGCTGGCATTTGAAAACATAGCAAAGCTACTGAAATCCAATAATTTTGAATTTATGACAATTCAGACAGCATTTGATTGGTTATGTGTCATTTATTTAGAAATGGTTGTATTAAAAAAAATAGCATAAAGAAGTAAACCAGAATGTAAATGAAAATATTTTAGCAACTATTTAGTCAATCAACATACATTTATTAAGGGCCTATTCTCTGGCAAATACTAGCATTTATCTATAAATTTTCCCCTTCTATATTTCCCTTAACATTTTGAAAAGAAAATCAAGAAAAAGTGTTTGCCCTGAATAACTGATCACTGAGAAGCTACAAGGTATATCAGATAGATAGCTATCTCCCAGGCAGTATAATTTGGGTTTAAGTTCTACCTCTTGCAACATTCTGGCAATGCAACCTTTGGCAGATCCCTCAAACCTCTCAGTGACCCAGACTATTCTCTGAAACTCTCAATTACAAAGCAGGTGCAGATCTTCTCAAGCAAGAGTTGTTGCACCCAAGCACTCCCTACACCAGGGAAATCAAAGGTCTAGACACCCCCCCCCCCAAAAAAAACCCAAAACACCTGCTTCCTCCTATTTTTTTTACACTTATTTTGAAACAGCAGCTATGCTGCTAAACAGAGGCTTTTATAAGTAGAAGAAATTCCTTACCAGAATACACAACTTTAAATTAAAGGAGTTATTTAACTTTTCACGGTTCAGTTTCCTCATTTATGCAACAAAAGGGTTGAATAAATTATTGGAATCATAATTATGCTTTAGTGCACTTTAAAATGCCAGTCAATAGTGGTGAAACTAAACCAGCGGGCACCAATAGCATTTCTAACTATTTCAGTTAATATACTCCATGAGCCAGAGGAAAAGTGGGCTATTCAATCAGTACACATTTACTAAGCACCTCTTTTGTGTGTACTGTAGCAGGCTGGACTCAAAGACGTTTCCCTGCCCTCACTGTTTAGGAAAGGTATATAATACATACAAATGTAGCTATAATACATGATAAATACCTAAGAGGTACATACAAAATGTTAGAGGAGATCTCAAGGTTAGGTGAGAACATTACTAACTAGGGAAGTCAAGAAAGTTTTCATGAAAGAAATGGCATAAGCAGGAACTCAGCAGGCAGAGAAGGGCATACAAAGTATAGAAAATAATGTAAAGAAAGGCAAGAAGGCAGGACATGTAAACAGGGAAAAGTTGGGTGGCACCATACTGTGCATACTGTATTTATATTCCTGGCTAAGGAACCTAACTTTATTCAGCAACAGAAAGTCAATGAAAAGTTCCACAGAGAGGAATGCTATGACCAAACAAGACATCAGTGTAAAAGAATTCTAAATCTAAAGATTCTCAGACCCAACATTATGAATTGCATAGTCAGCAATTTACAACTGGCTAATGCAGGGGAAAAAATTATTAAATAATACTCACTTCTCCCATTTCTAATTTTCTTTTTTTTTATTTTTATTTTATTTTTTTGGCTAGGCAATGGGGTTAAGTGACTTGTCCAGGGTCACACTGCTAGTGTTACGTGTCTGAGACTGGATGTGAACTTATGTCCTCCTGACTCCAGAGCCAGTGCTCTTTCCACTGTGCCACCTAGCTGCCCCTTCTACTACCCATTTTTTAACCTTAATCTTCCTACTTCTCAATCCCTTCTTATCCTTCTACCCCAAACTAAAACTATAGAATTTTTGATTCTCCTAGCAAACCTCCAAACCAGAAAAGATAGTAGCAGCATCAACCAGGGAGTAGTGGCATGTTAGGGAAGAGGAGGCAGAGGGTCCTCATTCCCCAGGAATAAAGGGTTCTTAAGCCCCAAATCTTAAACCCAAAATGAAATCAAATAAATTCCTATAGCCAAACTCCAGCTTTCAATCACTTGCAAACCATTTTCTCTCAGAATTTCTCTCAAAAAACATAGCCTCTCTAAATGCTTTAGTAGGCATTTTTCAGGAAGATGAAGAATTGCTAAAGTAGAAATTTTAGATCTATTCTCATTACCTTTGCCATTTATTAGCTTTGTCACTATTTTATAGTAAATGAAGAAATATTTGTTAAGGGTAGAACAAGAGACCGGGACAAAAAAGCTTAAATTCCCCCAATACGGTACTAATTCAAGCACTTTAAAAGCACCTGTTTACAAACAAATGTTATATTCACTGCAATTCATTTTTATCCAATAATTAAAGCAAATCCCAAACCTCTGATAGCTATATTCTAATTACCCTACATATTTCAAAGTAATGAAGTTGCATTTCTTTAAATATTTTATAGCTGACTTCATGCTAATTTAAACAAGTCTTTCCCAATAGTAAAAACCGATAAATACAGCACACTTAAAACACTTCATGTACATTTTCTCAGGCCTGAAAAAACAGATTATTATTCTGATTTTATAGATAAGGACGCAGAGACTCAGATCACACGAATTTGCCTTGGTGAAATAGCTAGTCTGTGTTTGAAATGAGATTGAAAACAAGTTTTCTTAACTACAAGGCCATCGTTGTCAAAATCCAGGCAGGGAACGTGAAACTTGAAAGCAGAAGGAAGTGAGGACTGAAGTTTCCAATGACAAAGGAAGGAAGTGGTATGGCAACCCCTTTTCTACCACTGACAGAGCCTCTGAATTTCTCCCCATTTTGTCATCAAAGGAACAATTCTACCACCCATCTCTTACAGGACACAGGGGAGAAAAAGGGAAGCACAGCATACGAGCAGGGGAATTGCCCAAGTCTAACTTTTGTAATTCCATTTTAGTGGGATAATCCATTTCAATGAGTGCGGATTCAGTCCACCCCCAACTGAAACACAGTAGGCTCAGAGTACACCCATAATATAGAAGGAATATTGTGCTTACCAGTGACTATGGAGGGTAAGAACTGCAGCCAGTGAGTAGTCCACCACAGAGCTCGGGTACAGATAGGCAGCTGGGAGAAGGCCCAGCAGCAAGACACTGACAGCTCTCTCACTAGTCCAGTGCAGAGACGCAGCCTTAGAGTTAGCTACAAAAAGGACCAGAACCATGTGATGTGAGGGCGGGGGTTTAGGACACATTCTCAACATGAATGTGTTAACACAAGTAGTCAATTTATGAAGCTAACAAAATGCACGGAAGATTTACCAAAGAACATGAGAAGAATAGGGGCTCAGAAATAAATGACAGAAATTGGAGGTTCTTTCATTTTCTCACAAAAGAAAAGACTCCTGCTTTTTGGGGAGAGAACATCCTATGTATTTGCAAGGTATGAAATGATCACTGTAGAAGACCAATTGTTGGAGACCTTGTAAATGGAGATGAATATTTGGCATGCTCATTTTAAACATCTCTTTTCTATTGATATGAAACTTCTGCAGCCCAGAAAAGAAACCACATGTATTATTCACACTCCCCTCCTCCCCAAAGGTCTTCAAGAAAATTTTCTTTCAAAATCAACCCACTCAAAGAGACTGTGGTCTGCTTTATATCCTACTACTTGTAAATAACTTTAAAACAAGCTACAAATAATTTTGGCTTTACACAAGTATTTTTTGAGGGGCACCATAATCATCTGGGTTTAATCAAGATTCAAAATCAGGTCTAAACTTCAAAAACTTCAAAAGAAAAAAAACCAGTTCATATGTTTATACAGTACTTCACAATTTACAAAGTGCAGTTCTTAAAAACAAGTAAATATTGTACCTATTTTAGATTAGGAAACTGGATTCAAGGTTAAGTTACTTGCCCACAGTCATTGGAAGGATGTGATATGCTATGAGAAAACTAAGGATTAGAGAAACTAAATGATTTGCTTAGTTATACAGCTAATAAGTGGTGAGCCTGGACTCAAACTCAAGTCTTTTCGTTCAAAGCCAAACACCTTTTCTACTATACTACAATTAGTCTCACTCTACTTCTGTAGTGTCACAGAGGGGCTCAAAGCAATCCAGATCTAACAAGACACTGAGCTAAGAGCAAGAAGCCTAAAGATGGTAGAATGGAGGCAGCTCTGGGTTTGAATTGAAAGGATCTGAATTGAGTCCTGGCTCCGGCACTTACTACCTGTGTGAGCTTGGGCAAGTTAACACTCCACCCCATTTTCAGTTTCTCAATGATAAAATATGGTGGTTGGCCTAGATCTACAGTCTCTTTTGGCCCTAAATTTATAATCTGAAACCTGAACTTTAATGCTAGTGCCTTTCTCTCTGCTGATTATCTTTTACTTATTTTGTATATAGCTTGTTTGTACATAGTTGTTTGCTGTGAGCTCCTTGAGAGCAGAAACGGTTCTCTGGATATCTCCAGCACTTAGCAGTGCTTGGCACATAATAGGCACTTAATGTTTGCTGACTTGTTGACTTGAACTTCTGCAAAAACAAGACATTAAATCTTTCCAGATGTGGACATGGTAACATGAAAAAAAACTCAATTATCAATGTATTGATTATGTAAAATAAAAAAATATAAGTGCTTATTAGAAACTGCCAAGTGATTTTAATACTAACCTAAATTAAGGTACACAATGCATCCAAAAGTTTTAAATTATCTGCTGTTTTGGATTATTACTGTTTTGATTTCTCTGTATTACCTAATATTAAAGGATGACTCTTCTGCAAAGAATGAGTCTCTGAAAAAGAATGCCTTAGGCTTCGATATTTAATTTTTCAAAATCAGGCGTTTCCCTATGTTGACACTAGGGGAGGCATATAGGTAACAGGAAGAGTCTGAGAGTTTGAAGACCTGTGGGTCTACCCCAAACTACCTAAGTCATTTTTGGACATGTCACTTCATATCTCTATGCCTCAGTTTCCTCCCTCATTTATAATTGAAGGGGCTTAACTAGATGATTTGTCCGGGACGGTCGAGGGCCTGTCTCTACAGGGATAGAAGCCTGGTTGGCCAGAGGGCGAAGGGTAGTGGACACAGGGGTCCGGCAGAGCGGCCGGGGGCAGGACGTACAGCTGCGGCTGGCAGACAGGTGGATGTGCCGTCCTCCAGGGGCAGGCCGGTCCGGCAGAGATGCTGAGACGAAGGCGGGTCTAACCACGCGTGGGCCCAGGACCAGAGCTGGGGAGAAAGGCAGACGATCACTGCCGGGGGCAGGCTGTGGCGCGGGGCCCTCGTCCCGTGGGCTCTGGGCCGGTCGCCTCCGTGCCCCAGCCCCAGCCCCAGGGACGGCTTCGGGCCCGGCATGCGCAAGGGGCAGGAAAAGGGACCGAGGGGCTGCTCCAGGTCCCCACTGGGGTCACTGGCCGAGTGCCACCGAGGGGCGAAAGGCAGCCCGTCACCTCGGGACGTAGGAGCCCCAAAGAGCGCTGGAGTGCTGACCCCTCCCCCCCCGCGCGGGAGAGATAGCGGTCAGAGCCCCCCGGCCCGTCCCCTCACCTCGGCCCCGGGCACAGCTCAGAAGGTTCAGGCGCCCCAGCGCCGCAGCCGCCGCCAGCGCCATGTCTGCCCGAAGCGCTCAAGGTCACTCGGTGACCCGGGAGCGCTTAGGACCACTTCCCGCGCCACGGCTCCGGAAGCCGCTGTGAACCGGAACCTGAGAGAGTAAGAACGAGGCAGTCGGGAAGGAGAACCTGGATGAACCGGAAGCCGGTGTCTGCGTACCCTGGTCGGGAAGGAAGTAGGACTCCCATCGGAGGGGCGGACATGGCGGAATTGGCCGAAGCCGATGAGGCCGAACTGCAGCGTCTGGTGGCGGCGGAACAGCAGAAGGCGCAGTTCACTGCACAGGTGCCGAGATTTAGGACAAGGGAATAAAGGAGGGCTCCGGCGGAGGGTGAGGGGGAGGTGCAAATGCTACAGCGTCCGGGCTACCGGCCGAGAGACGGCCGCGTCCAAGCCGGGCAGAGGCAGGCGTCTAAAGGCCGAAGAAAGGGGCCCTCCGGAACGGGGGAGGGAGGAGGTGAGAGTCGTAGATCTTGAGGCGTACACTCCTCTCCCTGTAGGCGTTTTAGAGGTGGTCTAATCCAACCCAACCCTAGCCCCGCGGAGATGAGGCCGGAGAGGGGTAACGTCTTGCCCAAGGTCACACAAGTAATAAGTAGTAAAACTGTCATTTTCAGATTTGGAGTCGAAAGGGATGTCTTTCACAACCCCATGAAGGTCAGATATTTTAAGAGAGGAAAGAGTTCTCTGGTTTCTTGGAGAATCAATTAAGAAGAGCTCACGGAGCTGCCCCCACGGTGTGCTGGCTGCTGGCGGGGGTTGGGGGTCTCGGGGGTCCGGGGGGAGAAGAGTTAGCTCCTGCAGCCCACACCCAAAACCTTGGGGCCAAAGTGTAGAGCTGTGTGGTTTGTGGCGCAGACCTTAGGTATTGTGGGAGTTAGATAATAGCAGAGACAGGTAGTCCATCAATGACTATAACCAAGAAAGCTTTCGTGAGGCTGACACTTAAATTGGGACTTGAATGATTTGGATAAGGGAGCAGAAACAATGAAAATTGTCTGTCACAAGGATAGCGTAGGTATGTGGCATTAACATGCATAGCATCTGCCCTTTAATAAATGTTGGAAGTAGTGGACATGGGCTGGATAGGTGAGCCAGGGAATTTGGACTTAGGTTCACAGATTTAGAACTAGAAATGACCAGCACCTTCTTTTATGGACCAAAACTAAAGCCCAGAGAAGTTGTGACTGCCCAAGGTCACGTAATAGTAAGTGACAAAGCTTGGATTCAAAACTAAGTTTCCCAGATGCTGTATACCTACATCATGCTTCCAATGGGTAATTGCCCTTAGAGATACTTGAACAAAGGGTGAAGAGGGAAACAAGATCTTAGAATAATCTAGCAGCAGTGTAAAAAAGACATTGTGAGTAGGGAGACATAAACCTGTATTAGTAATTTAGGCTTCAAGTGACAAGGATCTAGGCAAGATAGGTGGCTGTGTAAATGCAGATATGAGTCTGAGATACTTTGAAGAACTGATAGGAAATACAGAAGGCAGAGGAAAGGGAAGTATCAAAGATGACAAAGTTCAGTCTGGTAAATGGGGGGCAAATGACAGGAAAAGGGAAAATCAGAGAGGAAAGAAAAGTATTACCTGCCCCTCTACCCCTCTCTATAATGACTATCTTCCTCCTTAGGTACACCACTTCATGGATTTGTGCTGGGATAAATGTGTTGAAAAACCCGGAAGCCGTTTAGATTCTCGAACTGAAAATTGCCTTACCAGTTGTGTGGACCGATTCATCGATACCACTCTTACCATCACAAGCCGATTTGCTCAGATTGTGCAGAAAGGGAGCCAGTAGGCTAACCTTCATCCCTGAGGGAAATGAGTGGAAGAACAAAAAGATCTGTAACTGGACAGTTTATATACCGTGGCTGAGGTCTTTGTGAAAGGGTGAAGAAACTATTACCAAATCAACTTTGGGCTGTGGCCAAACCTGTAGTATTTAAAAAATAATAAGAGATATTCCAAAAGTGAAATTTCTTTATTTGGAATTTTGGAATTCCAGATTGTATTACATCATTTATTTGATAAATATGACTCCCCCAACCCTGGTCTTTATTACTTTATTTAAAAAAAAAAACCTACCTCGGGGTTTAGAGATCCCTGACTGGTTGAAAATCCTAAAACACTTATCAAAGAAAAAATATGGGTTCCAATGCTGGTAGTGCAAATGGGAGACATTGGATTTAAAAGCCACCCTGAGCCTTTCACTCAGGAACTGGAAGAACTTTAGAAGCCAAATAAGGCTTAGAAAAGGAAAGTTTGGAGTTTAGAAGGCAGTAGAGAGCAGACAGCCCTTTTGCTCCCATATGCCCACATACAAGTAATTAGAGTAAACATCACCAAAAATAAAAACCTGGCTGCAGCGAAGACACATTGACTAGAAAAGGAGGCAGAGCTGCTAGTATGAGAAAAGGCTCTTGGCTCTTATGACAGTACATACTTCTAGAGACTCCCCTAACCTGTCAAGTGCCTAGAAAAAACTTGGTGCAAAAAACAATGTTGAAAAAAATGAAAAACAATCCAGTTAGGATCTTATTTCCTAGAGGACCACAGAAAATACTGTTTGCATTAAGTTAAGGGATTGTCATTTTAGAATCTCTCCTACCTCTAAAATCTCTACCAAATAACAGGCCTTCTCTTCAAAAAAATTCCTGATAAAAACTGCCATTTAGTGGTAGTTGGCTAAGAGTACATAAACTGGAGCCAGAAGAGTTAGTAAGTCATATAGATGTCCAAAAAAGGTAGCACCTACTGGTTAACCAGTGGATGGAGGCCTTTGCCCAAAGATGTATTTGAAGGTTAATTCTGTAGACTGTAGAATCCTATTTTGTACAGAGGCTTTTAGAAGTAATTCATAACTACAGAATCTTAGGTATTTATGTGTAAACCTAATTATATTCTATTGTTATAAGGTGTCTCCCATTACTTTGCCCTTTGTTGTCTATAATACTCCCAATGAGGTCAGTGTTATTCCCATTTTAGGGATGGGGAAAATGAGGCACAAGAGGTTAAATGACTTGTTTAGGACCTCACAAATATAGTCAATAATGGTAAAGCCAGGATTAGGCTTAGTTTTTAGTTCTCAGACCATCAAGTAACAGCTATGTAACTATATATAACACCGTAAGTCTGAAGTATTTGTTCTCTTCTAAGTGGGGCAAAGTTTAGTATATCCATTAAATCACAGAATTTTGGGGATTGAAAGTATATTCCACATTACCCCTGCTCCTAACCATACCCCCAAGGAAACCTTGGGACCCCATTTGAAATACCCCTAGGTCCCAATTGAACAAAATTAAATAACCCAACTTTCTTTGCTGGGGTGGGGGGATATTTTGAGTCGCATGAAGGCTGGGAAGAGGCAAATATGTCCCTGAGAGACCTACATTATTTTGGAGCTGACCTGACTTTCTAGTTAGAGGTGGAATCTGGAATTCATTTACAGACTTGGAGACAAAAACAAGGAAAGACAGACTATTTAAATGATATCTGTAACCAGTGTCCTGAATCCAGTTCAGGGTACACAATTGGACAGCATGGTCAGATCCTAATTTGACCCCAATTCCAACTAGGACCATCTTAAATAACCAAAAAATAATTTCACATACAATTAAACTCGGGCAAAATTTAGCAGTATGCTGCGAGACTTTTACTGCCTGATTCTGACTTAGGCTCAGGGGCTATAAAGAATGCAGGTTTATAGAACCTACCCAGTGGGGAAAACATACCAAGAAAGCCCCATTCCCATCTGGTAACAGCTGCCTGTAGTTTTTATTGCAAGGGAAAAAAGGCTTGTTCCTGTGCCCATTTCCTCAAGTACACTGGGCCAGCCAGAATAGGACTAAAAGTTCAATATTAAAATCAAACTGGGGTCTTGATATACATATCTAAAGATCAAAGGCACCAAGGCTGAGAATGAAGAGCCAGGTATGACACCTGCTGTAGGAAGGTCAGAGGAAGATGATCTGAAGTGATTAAATAATAAGGCCCCACAACGATTTCCTTGTTGAGTTCTTTGGGGTCATACCACCTGTACATGGGGCTAGTCAACAAAGGAAAGTCATCTCTCCACACTGTCCTCTTGGGCCTAATGCTTGTTTTCCCCAAACTGAGCACTTTAGTGGGAGTTCCCAGATTACTGGCTTCTGTTTCCTCTGATTTGGGGAATAGTGTGCATGAGACTGAGTGTGGCTAATTGCAAAAAATAATCTCTTCAAGAAACCTTCATTACAAAAACTAACAACAGTTTCCCCATTATCAATAAAAGGGGATCAAGTTTAACAGGCTCAAATAGGAGAAAATCCATCAGTTAGGATTTGGATGGCACAAGACAGCTCTCACCACTTGGGCCACTTACTCTAACAAGAAAGAGTCCCTGCCACACCCGTCGAGTCCAAGGGGTCACCTGGAAAACCTGGAGGGTGAAGCCTCCCTCCATTTAATCCTCGTCGGAGCTTTCATCCGTCTTTTCATCTGTAGCTACCTTCCAGTTCTTCCGCTTGCTGGTCCTCTCTTGTACCTCACTCTTCCTCTTCGTTGGGGTGATGTGACCTTTCTGATCCTTTTTCCTTTTGGTTTTCTTGGCATCTTTTTCCTCGCTTTCCTCAGAACTACTGGATGCTGAATCATCTGGGCGAGAAGAATCACTTTCTGACTCTGAGAAAGAAGCAGCTTTCTTGGGAGCCTTTTTCCTTGATTTTTTCTTTCGCTTATGTGATTGTTTGCCTTTCCGAGCACTGGAAACCTGAGTTTCTCCTGAGCATTCACTGGAGGAATCTGCAGCTCTAACTGTGGCTTCCTTCTTGCTTTTCTTTTGTTTTTTGTGTGACCGTTTTTTTTGCTTTTTTTTGTGGGATTTCTTTGACCTCTTACGTTTATGGGACTCAGGAGGAGACGACTTTTCCTGGGGAGGTGTGTTTCTTCCATTAATAGCCTCTTGCTGATCACTATGAATACAGCAAAGAAAGGATAAATGTCATAGAAACAGCATTTTATTTATGCTTTAGTATCCTGCATTTGGACTTGAGAAAT